TACGTTCGCCTGTACCGTCGAAGAAAGAGTACGTTCGCCTGTACCTTAAAAGAAAGAACATGTTCGCCTGTACCGTAGAAGAAAGAGCACGTTCGCCTGTACCGTAGAAGAAAGAGTACGTTCGCCTGTACCGTAAAAGAAAGAACATGTTCGCCTGTACCGTAAAAGAAAGAGTACGCTCGCCTGTACCGTAGAAGAAAGAGTTAGTTCATCTGTACCGTAGAAGAAAGAGTACGTTCGCCTGTACCGTAGAAGAAAGAGTACGTTCGCCTGTACCGTAGATGAAAGAGTACGTTCGCCTGTACCGTAGAAGAAAGAGTTAGTTCATCTGTACCGTAGAAGAAAGAGTTCGTTCGCCTGTACCGTAGAAGAAAGAGTACGTTCGCCTGTACCTTAAAAGAAAGAACATGTTCGCCTGTACCGTAGAAGAAAGAGTACGTTCGCCTGTACCGTAGAAGAAAGAGTACGTTCGCCTGTGCCTCAAGTAGTTCACACTGGATAGGTAATCATTAAAACTATGTAATACTGTTAGTGGCGGGATATTTCCAACGAACTGTTACATAAGTACAACTTCGACAAAAGTAAAGACTTACAGGACTTATTAAGTAATTTAAGAAATATATAGTTCAGCGTTCTTTTGTCCTTATTTCTATAACCTGTCACCCTCCAATGGAAGATGACATTTTGACTTGGTTGAGTCCAAGCAGTGCAAACATGCGACACGTTGCGATGAGGTGAGGTGAGGTGAAATTGGGTTTAACGTCGCGTCCAAGATTATTGCACTTATATAGCGACGTGCATGCACGTGTATGTGTGTGTGTGGCTGCTTGTACTAGTCCGGACTGATGCCGATTTATAGTGCTAGCTCACTGAGATACCATGCCGCAGTTTAACATGAATACCCCACTCAGACACAGTATACTGACTCCGAGCCGACCAGTCCTTGTTTTAGCCCCTTAATGCCGAGCGCCAGACAGGGTAACAACAAGTACAATCTTTTAACGTCTTTTTGTATGACGCGGCCCGGGATCGAACCCTGGACCTTCCGCTCTCCGGGCGGACGCTCTACCACTAGACCACGGAGGCGGTCCGTTGCGATGAAATTAAATACCTATTTAAGGGGCGGGGGGGGGGGGGGGGGGGGGGGGGTCATTTTGAATTCTTTTGAGTAAAACTGTGTGTTTTGAAACGATTATTTTGAACTTCACAAGAGCATCAGTACTTAATCTTAAACTTGGGCATCATTGTTTGTGTTTGTCACAACCCCTGGTCGGCACGATAGCTAACCTACTGACCATGTGAAGTAACGCGTTTCGTTTGCAAAGAGCTCTTGTCCTCATGGTAGAATGTAGACAAACCGACTATTTTGAAATGAAGCGCTCGGTTGAAATACAAGGTACTTAATCCACAGTTAGACTACCTCAAATTTATTTTAAAAAACCAGCAACAGCAACACCGTAGGTTGATCAGCAACAGCAACACAGCAGGTTGATCAGCAACAGAAGGTTGATAAGCAACAGAAACACAGCAGGTTGATCAGCAACAGCAACACATCAGGTTGATTTGCAACAGCAACACCACAGGTTGATCAGCAACAGAAGGTTGATCAGCAATAGCAACACAGAAGGTTGATCAGCAACAGCAACACAGCAGGTTGAATTGCAACAGCAACACAGCAGGTTGATCTGCAACAGCAACACAGCAGGTTGATCTGCAACAGCAGCACAGCAGGTTGATCAGCAACAGCAACACAACAGGTTGATCTGCAACAGCAGCAAAAAGCAGGTTGATCAGCAACAGAAGGTTGATCAGCAGCAGAAGGTTGATCAGCAACTGCAACACAGCAGGTTGATCAGCAACAGAAGGTTGATCAGCAGCAGAAGGTTGATCAGCAACTGCAACACAGCAGGTTGATCAGCAACAGAAGGTTGATCAGCAACATACCTCTTACTCCGGCCTCCCAATGATAAACATTAGCACCCTCACCCAAGGAGCCTCAATCATAATTACATTGGAGGTACAGGGTTTCTCGAGAGAAGCTGTGGTTGACAGTGGAGCAGAGGTGACTGTCATATCAGACAGGCTGTTTAATCTATTGACAGACCGACCACCAAGAGTGCAAGAGGTCGTGTTAAAATGCAGGGAGAGATATCTAAATGAAAGGTTTTATAACAGATATGACAAGAATAAGGATGCAGGGAAGAACTTAGCGATTTATTGATTCGAGTCAATCGGTTCCAAAAAAAAGCCGTGATATACGAATGGACAATAGTATTCACTCTGGAACATTATTTAGTCACTCATATACACATGCTGCTGCTGCTCGAAGGCCCTATTGTTTAAACAGCGAGTCCATGTTTTGAAAAACATTGTTTTTTCTAAGTTTGTTTTGCATATTAGTATATAGTCTTCGTCATACTACACCCGTGAAGGTCCCGGGTTATAGAATCGACCTTCAGTAACCCATGCTTATCGGCGACTGACGGGGATCCATTGGTCAGTCTCGCCGACTCGGATGACACGTGCCATCGGTTCCTAGTTGCACAGATCGCTGCTCATGCTGTTGATCACTGGATTGTCTGGTCCAAGCTCGTTTATTGACAGACCACCACCCTAGAGCTGGAATAATGCCGAGTGTGGCGTAAAACTAAATTCACTCACTCACTGATACCAATACATCTAAAAAGTAATGTCATCATTTAAATGGTGAGTTTAAACGCGTATTTTACCCTTACAAGGACGAGTGCATTCCACACACCCTTCCTGTTATCAATGTGTCACTGTTTACAGTTCGGGCGAACATAACCCTATAGACATGTGTGCGGGCGAGTTCATTCATCAGAAATCTGTCATTTACGATGTGTTTATAAATATGAACTGCTAACCACGCTCATAGTCATGTTGCGTGTCGTGGTTAGAACCGTAATTGATCTATTGAAAGGTGTCATACATTCGTGTTCGGATATAGGTACAACATCTACACGCACATACTTTCCTACATCATTCAAATGTATTAAATACCGGATACGTTTAATAGACACCAACGAAAGAAAGGTTTAATGAGGGGAATACCCATATATATACTCTCTGAAATAACTCCCTTTTAAAATAACAAATGTACAACACATGTTCCCTAACATATCATAAATACGGAACACTGGTCACACAATTTATGAATGGGAAGCTTCAGGCGAGGCTGTTATGTTAACATTAATTGTAAGGCCGGGGTATGTTGACATTGTTATGGGCGGTCGGTCGCTTAGTCTCTCTGCTATACATTAGCTCGTTCTTGCGCGCTAAACGTAAACTACACCGCTAGCTTGCTGATTGCGTAGTCTTATCTATTTTTTCTAATTTTTTTCTATACAGGTTGTCTAACGTTCATGGTGTACAACGTGTAGACCGTATAAGATGAATTTGATCCAGCTAGACGTACATTTTTTTCCACCTTACATTACCCGGCGTATATCATGTTGACACAAACCGTCTCTATTGCAGAAGGGTCGTACTTTCAACACACACCCTGCATTCATCAAACCAGGTCGCACGCTCTAGCGAGCGCGGTCAATTTGAAACGACTACGTGAGTTGTACACTAATTGTAATTTCTACTATCGCCTGAAATAAACGAAACCATTATGACCAATAAACAATTTGAAACGACGTGGTCACGTGAGTTGTCAAGCGCGTTCAATTCAAACTGGGCTGACGGGTACGGTCTGTCTATTCAGGGCAGCACGCCATACACATAGCTCTATTGAATACCCTTTACTTTTGTTTACTTACGAATTCTTTTCTGCCTTATAAACACACACACCTTTCATTCCCCGCCCTTTCCCGACGCGCTGTTGATGCATGAGTCATCCTATCCGATCACGTGACTTGGATCAGCCAATCAACTTCGCATCCGCCTGGATCAACCGGATCAACCAAAAGGGGGTTCCTGCGGACTGAGACTATACTACTCCTATTGATCACTAAAGGATGTCTTTGAAAACTGTCAATAGTTCTTGAGAATATGTATTCCTCACTCAGAGCATGTATTAAAACTGACACGGGTTCAACTCCTTGTTTTACTATTTCCAGTGGTGTTCATCAAGGGTGCTACTTAAGCCCAGTGTTATTCCTCATTTTGTTATAAACGAACTTGTTTCTGAAATTTACAAAGAATGTCATCATGGTTTGTTTGTGACGCAAGATATTTATAGATATTCTGTTATTGCTGTTCGCGGATGATGTTGCTCTGGTGTCCTTCTGTGTGGTAGGCTTGCAGAAACAGCTTAATGTATTGCAGTCCTTTTTGTATTTAGTGGGGTTAAGGAGTAAGCCTTGAGAAAACGAATGTTATGGCTTTAAAAATGGTGAAATTACATCGAAGCATGAAAATTGGCCATCAGGGCATAACACATTCAGCCAGGTCACACACCATCAGGGCATAACACATTCAGTCAGGTCACACACCATCAGGGCATGACACATTAAGCCAGGTCACACACCATCAGGGCATAACACATTCAGCCAGGTCACACACCGTCAGGGCATGACACACATTCAGCCAGGTCACACACCATCAGGTCATGACACACATTCAGCCAGATCACCCACCATCTGGGCATGATGACACACAATCAAAAATGAAATGAAAACGGCATAGGGGTGTTCCTACCCATCACATAACAAAACTAAATGGAAGTGACAAACTGACCTACACTGGACTCACTGTGTATTGGCAATGATGACACCAGGTGTTCGTCACCCTGGTCAGGCGTCCTAGTCAAACATCATCAAACGGAGCACGGATAGTTCAATGGGCCAAGGAGCAATCACTTGCAGTGCAGAGTTGCGTCCCTTAGCTTGTCATGAGTTTAAACCCCATAACTGTTCTCTTGTTGATCTGTTGTTTGCAGTTGTTGTGGGTTTGAATCGCTGACAGGTTCTTATGTTGAGCACACATCTTAGACGAGCATCTTAGACGGCCATCATTTAAAACCCAAAATCTAATTAGATAAAACGACTTTACTGTTCTATTACGCATGATATTAAATAGTCAAATGGAAATGAAGATATTTACAGGTATCGACAAATATCACAAAATGGCATGTGAGATGTTCCCAACAGCCCGAGGCCGGCTCCAGAGCTGTAAACTCTCTGACTACAATACAAGTCTAACAACAATTAGCAACCTGTTGGTTAAAACAACAAATATTATTCTTGTTGGTTAAAACAACAAATATTATTCTTGTTGGTTAAAACAACAAATATTATTCTTGTTGGTTAAAACAACAAATAATCAATATGAAAGTGTCACAACATAAAACATAAGGTCAATTCATATATTGCAGATGTACTGTTATTGGTACATGAGTTTAAAGAAAACAGACACAAGGTCAATTCATATATTGCAGATGTACTGTTATTGGTACATGAGTTTAAAGAAAACAGACACAAGGTCAATTCATATATTGCAGACGTACTGTTATTGGGACATGAGTTTTAAGAAAACAGACACAAGGTCAATTCATATATTGCAGACGTACTGTTATTGGGACATGAGTTTTAAGAAAACAGACACAAGGTCAATTCATATATTGCAGATGTACTGTTATTTGGACATGAGTTTAAAGAAAACAGACAGGCTAATTGGTTTTATTATTGAACTCAATGCAAAACTAAAGATACAGTTTCCCTTGACTGGCCTTGTATACTTATCAATATGTGTGAATATACTCTCCATCAAACCTGGTAATGGTCAGGTGTAAAGGTCACAAACATTGCATATCACATCAGCTTTCTTAAATAATAAACGTCACAAAACCTTTTCTGTATTCATAAAAATCTCTGCTAAAAGCAGGATCCATTGTATTCCGAGCACTATTGTCCATCCTAAGCATGTGTTGTTAGCAGGGATCAGAATCTTCTGCTAATTTACACAAATTTTCGTGAGCACAACTTTGTAAAATTTGATGAACCCCCTATAAACACCCCCAAATTATGGACCACGCTCCATTGAAAAGACATTTCAGCTGAAAAGGAAAATATCGTTCTCATCCCTGTATCAGATAGTGGTAATGTCTGGTGTTGTAGCCTCAGGGTGAGCGTATCCTGCCCCACCGGTGCCACCATCGCTTGCACTATAAGTACATTTGGCATGCAGTGATGGCTGTAAACACTAGTCAGATCTTTGACACTAAAACTGTATACTAAAGGACAGTTTTTCTTGCTTATCTCTATATAAAGGCCCAACGTTATCTTACAAAACCTGAATCTCAAGACAAGAGGACCTCCCCACAAAGTTGTATCTACAGATAGGGCCATCTTGCATACTATATACATACAGTGAGTGAGTATGGGTTTACACTGCTTTTAGCAATATTCCAGCAATATCACGGCAAGGGACACCAGAAATGGGCTTCACACATTGTACCCATGTCGGGAATCGAACCCGGGTCTTCGGCGTGATGAGCGAACGCTTTAACCACTAGGCTACCTGACCGCCCCTTATACATACAGACGAGCAGGTATCTTGCAACATTGAAGTGAGTGAGTGAGGGGATTGGGTTTTACACCGCTTTGAACACTAGTTCTGTTACATCATAGCTTGACAGTGAATTGTGTGGGCGCCACTGCAACAAAGATACTTAGAGTATGCAAAACAAACAAATCCTCAGGTCAAGACACATCAAATTAATGTTTGTTTACATGTTTGTTACTTAAATATGAAACTGCCTCCGTGGTCTCGTTCTCTGCCCAGAGAGTGGAAGGTCCAGTGTTCGATCCCTGCCTGTGTCATACCAAAAGAAGTTCAAAGATGATATTTGTTAGAACCCTGTCTGGCCCTCGGAATATAGGGGCCTGCATTTAGGGGCTAAAACAAGGACTGGTGGGGTATTCATGTTAAACTGTGGCATGGTTTCTCGGATAGCACTTTAAAATAGGCATTAGTCCAGACTAGTACAAGCAGACAAGATATCTCGCAGTAGTGTATAGAGACACCTCACAGCTGTGTATACAGACACCTCACAGCTGTGTATACAGACACCTCACAGCTGTGTATACAGACACCTCACAGCTGTGTATAGACACCTCACAGCTGTGTATACAGACATCTCACAGCTGTGTATACAGACATCTCACAGCTGTGTATACAGACACCTCACAGCTGTGTATACAGACACCTCACAGCTGTGTATACAGACATCTCACAGCTGTGTATACAGACATCTCACAGCTGTGTATACAGACATCTCACAGCTGTGTATACAGACATCTCACAGCTGTGTATACAGACACCTCACAGCTGTGTATACAGACATCTCACAGCTGTGTATACAGACATCTCACAGCTGTGTATACAGACACCTCACAGCTGTGTATACAGACACCTCACAGCTGTGTATACAGACACCTCACAGCTGTGTATACAGACATCTCACAGCTGTGTATACAGACATCTCACAGCTGTGTATACAGACATCTCACAGCTGTGTATACAGACATCTCACAGCTGTGTATACAGACACCTCACAGCTGTGTATACAGACATCTCACAGCTGTGTATACAGACATCTCACAGCTGTGTATACAGACACCTCACAGCTGTGTATACAGACATCTCACAGCTGTGTATACAGACACCTCACAGCTGTGTATACAGACACCTCACAGCTGTGTATACAGACACCTCACAGCTGTGTATACAGACACCTCACAGCTGTGTATACAGACACCTCACAGCTGTGTATACAGACATCTCACAGCTGTGTATACAGACACCTCACAGCTGTGTATACAGACATCTCACAGCTGTGTATACAGACACCTCACAGCTGTGTATACAGACACCTCACAGCTGTGTATACAGACACCTCACAGCTGTGTATACAGACATCTCACAGCTGTGTATACAGACACCTCACAGCTGTGTATACAGACATCTCACAGCTGTGTATACAGACACCTCACAGCTGTGTATACAGACATCTCACAGCTGTGTATACAGACATCTCACAGCTGTGTATACAGACATCTCACAGCTGTGTATACAGACATCTCACAGCTGTGTATACAGACATCTCACAGCTGTGTATACAGACACCTCACAGCTGTGTATACAGGTGGGTGTGGTAGAGGTCTGAACCCATGCTAGACATCATGGAGGGTGGCGGAGGGGGTGCCTGCGTCTGGAGACAGGACTGTATCGCATCCTTGACCTCAGATCTCAGTCCAGACATCAACTCCCATTTCAAGTAATCGAGATCCTGCTGGGAGAGCATGCTGGGATAGCTGTTGTTGCCAAAGCTGTTGTTGTTGTTGAGGTTCTGGTAGCTGTTGCCGAAGTTACTAATGCTGGTACTAGAGTTGACCTTCTGGAGGTTGTGTAACCTTGGGCTTGACGTAGGTGAAACACCTCGCAGTGTGTGGACTATATCTTGGCGGAGGCAATCCATGTGTGATGAGGTCCGTGCACACTCACGCTTTCTGTCTTCTCGGAGTTCGAACCTGTGGAGAGATATCAATAGAATCACACCTGTCATCTTCATCAACACACTCACGTCTTAAGGTCGTTCAGAACACATGATTTGGGGGACGACTTCCCATTGTATTTGGATCACCATGAAGACTGCAGAGCCCTGTGATTTTCAAAAAAACAGTTCAGAGACCCCTAAAAGTCTCTTCCAACAAATTTAAAGTCATATCCCCACCTGACAATCACCATCCACTCCCCATGAAGCACTCTCCATGAAGCATGTACTCTCCACTGCCCATGTGGCCGGTGTAGCTATTCCCTCACCTGAGACTTGAGATGTCCTGTTTGATCTCCAGCAGGTCGTCCTCATTCACTCCATCTTGTCGCAACTGCTTCTTGGTCTGGTGGATGTAGCGACTCACCAGCCGGCGCATCACATCCTGCAACACACTCCCAGAATGCAACACACTCCCAGAATGCAACACACTCCCAGAATGCAACACACACATTGTCAGAATACAACTAAAACTCCCAGAATGCAACACACACACTCCTAGAATACAACACACATTTACAGAATACACCACCTGATACTGATACTGACTATAGCTGTTGGATATGTCACTGATACTGACTACAGCTGTAGGATACACCACCTGATACTGACTACAGATGTAGGATACACTGCCTGATACTGACTATAGCTGTGGGATATGTCACTGATACTGACTACAGCTGTAGGATACACCGCCTGATTCTGATACTGACTATAGCTGTGGGATACACCACCTGATACTGACTACAGCTGTAGGATACACCGCCTGATACTGACTATAGCTGTGGGATATGTCACTGATACCAACTACAGCTGTAGGATACACCGCCTGATTCTGATACTGACTATAGCTGTGGGATATGTCACTGATACTGACTTCAGCTGTAGGATACACCACCTGATACTGATACTGACTATAGCTGTGGGATATGTCACTGATACTGACTACAGCTCTAAGATACACCTGCTGATACTGGCTATAGCTGTGGGATATGTCACTGATACTTACTTCAGCTGTAGGATAAACCCCCTGATATTGATACTGACTATAGCTGTGGGATATGTCACTGATACCAACTACAGCTGTAGGATACACCGCCTGATTCTGATACTGACTATAGCTGTGGGATATGTCACTGATACTGACTTCAGCTGTAGGATACACCACCTGATACTGATACTGACTATAGCTGTGGGATATGTCACTGATACCAACTACAGCTCTAAGATACACCTGCTGATACTGGCTATAGCTGTGGGATATGTCACTGATACTTACTTCAGCTGTAGGATAAACCCCCTGATATTGATACTGACTATAGCTGTGGGATATGTCACTGATACTGACTACAGCTGTAGGATACACCACCTGATACTGACTATAGCTGTGGGATATGTCACTGATACTGACTACAGCTGTAGGATAAACCCCCTGATCTTGATACTGACTATAGCTGTGGGATATGTCACTGATACCGACTACAGCTGTAGGATACACTGTCTGATTCTGATACTGACTATAGCTGTGGGATACACCACCTGATACTGATACTGACTATAGCTGTGGGATATGTCACTGATACTGACTACAGCTGTAGGATACACCGCCTGATACTGATACTGACTATAGCTGTGGGATACACCACCTGATACTGATACTGACTATAGCTGTGGGATATGTCACTGATACTGACTACAGCTGTAGGATACACCACCTGATACTGACTACAGCTGTGGGATACACCACCTGATACTGACTACAGGTTGAGGATACACCACCTGATACTGACTACAGCTGGAGGATACACCACCTGATACTGACTACAGCTCTAGGATACACCTGCTGATACTGACTACAGCTGTGGGATACACCACCTGATACTGACTACAGCTGTGGGATATACCTGCTGATACTGACTACAGCTGTGGGATACACCACCTGATACTGACTACAGCTGTAGGATACAGTAACTGATACTAGTATACAACTGTTAGATAAAATGATTGGGTATCAGCCGATTGCCAAATTCACTTGCCGACAGTTACATTCGGAAACACTTCTGCAACAAACATACTGATAGATGCTATTGAAAAGTTTGTTGGTGGCTTAAGGTAATGTATTTAGTCATTGCTCACTTGTAGACATGTTATTGAAATGTTGTAGGATGTAAATTGTCGCATTATTTTTTTTTGTAACACTCGCTGTCATCTCGAGTAGCTGTCGGGGATTTATCATTCTATTGAACAAGCGCGAGGTTAGATAGACCGTTTTCAACCCGCCATTCCTATATTATTGAGTCAGAGCAGTGTTTGTTATATCATAGCTTGTTTTGGTATGAAATGTTATTTCAAAAAACTATATGTAAATCTGCTACGATGTTGTACTTTAGTTCCCTGAGTCAAGCTGCTTTGAGCAATGGATTCGGACAGCCCGTAATTAGGGTTTAATTCAAGAACCTATTTCTATTTATGTACGAGCGTTGAGGTCGTTCAGGACTCGCGCAACGTTACACTAGGTTTAGTAAGCAAAAAATGGCTGCAAGCAGACGCAGACGGGTATACTACTATTCACATAGTTTTAAATGATTTACAGAGATTGTTACGAAACAGGTTTTAAGTTAAATACTCAAATGTCAAGAAACAGGTGGGTAAAAAAAGTTGAGTACCCTCTAAAAATTGTGGATACCCAGTCAAAATTAATCCCAAATAACCAAAAGCTTATCTATAGCTCTGAGGATACACTACCTGATATTGCAGGGCATCCGGGCTAGGGGGGATAACTCCGTGAACATCGCTGTTGTAAGTTGGTCTCTGGAATTAGAGAAGTAGACAGCATGAGTGAGTGAGTGTAGTACTGTCTGCTCCATCATGTCATCCAGAATATGCTTATATAGTAAATGTCAAAGTTTTGGACATTAATATCTGCAAATAAATCTCATTTTGTTTTCCAGAAGAAAACAGGGAATATGATTCAAATACTGTAGCTGGGAGCATCCAGACCACATAATATAACAGTTGCTAGGCAACCTACTGTGGTTAACAAGTAACAATTTACTTCACTCTACGTCCCAACCATTGTAATTCTTCACAGCTTTACAGAACACTACGATCCTCCCACGGGAACTTGTTTTTGGTCAGTAAATAAAAACATATACCCCCTATATATACATACAGAAAAGGAGTGTCACTCACCATTTTGCCGGTCAGTAAATAAAAACATATACCCCCTATATATACATAGACAAAATGAGCGCCATTCACCATCTTGACGGTCAGTAAATAAAAACATATACCTCCTATATATACATACAGAAAAGGAGCGTCACTCACCATCTTGCTTGTCAGTAAATAAAAACATATACCCCCTATATATACATAGACAAAATGAGCGCCATTCACCATCTTGACGGTCAGTAAATAAAAACATATACCTCCTATATATACATACAGAAAAGGAGCGTCACTCACCATCTTGCTTGTCAGTAAATAAAAACATATACCCCCTATATATACATAGACAAAATGAGCGCCATTCACCATCTTGACGGTCAGTAAATAAAAACATATACCTCCTATATATACATACAGAAAAGGAGCGTCACTCACCATCTTGCTGGTCAGTAAATAAAAACATATACCTCCTATATATACATAGACAAAATGAGCGCCATTCACCATCTTGACGGTCAGTAAATAAAAACATATACCTCCTATATATACATACAGAAAAGGAGTGTCACTCACCATCTTGCCAGTCAGTAAATAAAAACATATACCCCTATATATACATAGAGCGATCTTGTCGGTATTGTTTACATCGATATGCAGGTTGAATTGTGAGTGAGTGAGTGAGTGAGTGTTCATGTTATATCATGGTGTGTCAGCTTGAAGCAGGAAGAACACTTCAGGCAGGGTTGAATGATGGAAAATAAAAAAATCCTGACTTATATGGGATACTTCTTAGTGATGAAAAGCAGAATATCTTCAAGGGGATTAAGGACACTGATACAAGCATGATTAGTATATGTACCGTATATAATCTAATCTAAATCATCATCTTTCCATCACAAAAAACAAAAAAGACAAATAGCTTAAAACTTGACATCTAAGGATCAATATACGATAACAAAGTAACATGTTAACAACAGTAACAAGATTAATATACGTTTACATTTTAAAGTAATTATCTCAATGATTTTTCAAAGTGTGACATCATGACAACAATTTTGGACTTTATTTTGCTGAAATACAAAATAGTCTTTTAGTCACTTTGGAGGTATTGCTGCAACTTTAATATTTTGTGTTCTTTCACATCTCACTTTGATGCCACAGCAAACTGTTATATTTTTGTCCAATCACAAGGTTTTCTGTGCCTGGTTGTCATGTTATTTTTACACATCTTCCAACAGACACTTTAGATCTATAACCAAAGTTGTCAAAAACATTATGTGTAATTCCTTGTACTCGGACTGTGCTTTCTCTATCTTCAGTAAACTTGCCATGTTTACCTGTAAGAATGTTTTATGAAATTAAAATGACTGAATATTGATTTATTGTAAAGTCACAATCCTGCCCATTGGTAAAAATAGAGAAAAGTTCATATTGCTATCCTGGGCCTGGGGTGGGTTTAGGATGTTCATGAAGAACATCACAGTTCTGGAGAACTGTGGTCAGGAACTCGGAATGTTCTCACTTGTTGGAGTTTGTGAAAACTTGGAGCATTTGTACGAGCGCTGTTTGCTTCGTGGATGTTGTAGCTGGTGGGAATTGTGGGGCTTGTGAAATTGACTATGTATTCTGAAAGCTTTTGTAAAAATAAAGTCAGTTTGAAAAACACTGTGTAACATTATGTAAATGTGAGGCATATTTTCACGTTACATTTAAAACCAGACTTTTTCCACCAAAAATACTTGAATTGCCCACATATTTAAGTTGAATACATTGCTTTAAATGACTTACTGTAGTAACTTTTTTCATTTATTTTCAGGTATCCTTATTATTTTCAAATAGAATAGAATAGAATAATTTTGTATCAATTATAAACATAATACATAACATTAAACTTCACTCTATTCCTTTTAGACCCGTGAAGATCCGGGGTAGAATAGGTCTTCAGCAACCCATGCTTGCCGTAAAAGGCGACTATGCTTGTCGTAAGAGGCGACTAACGGGATCGGGTGGTCAGGCTCACTGACTTGGTTGATGTATGTCACCGTACCCCAATTGCCTGGATGATGATAATCACTGGATTGTCTGGTCCAGATTTGATTATCTACAGACCGCTGTCATATAGCTGGAATATTGCTGAGGGCGATGTTAAACAACAAACCATCCATCCTATTCCTTTTAGATCAGAGTTCCAAATGTGGTCAAGCAAAGACAATGTATATGAATATGAACATGGGCCTATTATATTAACATAGGGGCCTATTATATTTACATAGAGGTAGATGGAGAACACCAAAATATCTTCTCTGGGGTGCCCCCCAAAAATCTTCTCTGAAGAACTCCAAAATATCTTCTCTGAAGAACCCCAAAATATCTTCTCTGAAGTACCCAAAAGTATCTTCCCCGAAGAACCCAAAAATATCGTCTCTGAAGAACCTCAAATAACCATCAGCAATCTTCACACTAATATGTTTTAAATAGAGCACTGCACATTTTCAGCCAATCAGTTGACTAGTTCGATTCTGCCAAGGACAGAAATCTACTTCCGCTTTTTTCCAGGTCACAAAACCGATAACAAAACTGGCAAGATGGCGAGTGACGCTCCTTTTCTCTACTTCTCTATAGCAGGTATATATGTGTTTATTTACTGACCAATACCGAGATCCTGTAGTTCCTCCATCACCAGGAGATACATACCACAGCTCCACGGTACTGTCACTATATCAAACTAACCAATCAAGACATGGTTCAAGCAAGTGAGAAACCACTGCTCACATTTCTTATCAATCAGACATCAGCACAATTGGCAATAAACAAACCACAATTATTCCATGTCTTCTGATTGCCCAACCAAGCAATTATTTTCATAAACCGAACAAAGGTCATGCTCATTACCGGACCACTGTTTCCTGTTTGGCTGAAAATAGTGTGTCAAGGTAATCAATGGTAGGGTTTGCACAAAGTTCATGGAATAGGGCTTACAGTAGAACACGGATATAGCGAACAAACGGATACAACTAACTGTTAAAAAATCCCCGATTTATCTCCTATATAATATCATATAAAATTTACGTATATAATGAACTCTCTACAGCGAACTAACGGATACAGCGAACTGATATTTGATCACCGACAAGCCCATCTATCACTAATTAGTGACGTGTATAGCGAACTGAGAAATCTCACTCAGTGTCAAGTGTCACTGACAATTGGCTGTACGCAATCAGCGGTGAATCAATACAATGGCGGCGAATCAATACAATCAGCGGTGACGGATCAACCTTGTTTAATTTGCATTGTGTTAATCTTACCTGTACATGTAATCTTGTCTGTAAAACAAACATTAAACATAAAAAAATTACGAGATTGTGTCCAAGTGACAGATCACTTGCATATGCTATCATGGCGGGCAATAGTAAGAGGAAAGCTATCACTTTAGACACGAAATTGAGAATTATTAATGCTGTTGATCCAAGATGGCGGACGTTTCCGAGCGAAAACGTGCATAACGAACAATGGATATAACAAACTGATTTCTCTGGTCCCTTGTAGTTCGTTATATCCGTGTTCTACTGTATTTGAATTTCATCAGTTTTAAATGATGGGCTCATTTCATTTGTTGACAAAAATAGACACGGTCGCCTAAATTCATGGTTGATGAAGGAACATAGTGCAGACACACCCGGCAAGGACGTGATGTTGTCATGTTATAAACGGTGCCCACAGCATATGGACACAAGCTACTTACTTCTTCTATTTCATAGGGATTGCCACTTTCTACAGTCTGCAACAGACATCAAGCAACAAAATATCTATTTAATAAATCAAAATAAACAAGCATAAACAATTCAATGAAAATCTAAACTATTAACACAAAAGAACCTCATTATACATGTCATAGATTCTCCATACATGCTCTTGCTAATAGCAGTTACACACAAATTTGTCCGTAATTTTATTAACCTAAATTTTAACATGTTAAAAAAATAAAAATGATTAAACAATTGCACACAAATGTTTTGGAAAGCAGTTTCATAACAACACAGATAAAATATTGGCAGGAAGACAAAGTGGCAGACAATAGGTACATGCACCATGCAAGCAGCTGCGGTTTCTGTGCAAGAAGCAAGGCGTCTCCATGAAACACACATAAGGTATCAACTGGCAACAACGGAGCATGGGTCTTGAGAGGCTTTAGAAATTGGAGAATAACCAATGAGTTAGGAGGACTTTCAGATTTATCCCGCCAATGTCAGTTATCCCAGATAGACAAGTGTCGTCCATGTCAGTTATCCCAGATAGACCAGTGTCGTCCATGTCAGTTATCCCAGATAGACAAGTGTCGTCCATGTCAGTTATCCCAGATAGGCAAGTGTCGTCCATGTCAGTTATCCCAGATAGACAAGTGTCGTCCATGTCAGTTATCCCAGATAGGCAAGTGTCGTCCATGTCAGTTATCCCAGATAGACAAGTGTTGTCCATGTCAGTTATCCCAGATAAACAAGTGTCATCCATGTCAGTTACCCCAGATAGACAAGTGTCATCCATGTCAGTTATCCCAGACAGACAAGTGTCATCCATGTCAGTTATCCCAGATAGACAAGTGTCATCCATGTCAGTTATCCCAGATAGACAAGTGTCGTCCATGTCAGCTATCCCAGATAGACAAGTGTTGTCCATGTCAGTTATCCCAGATAAACAAGTGTCATCCATGTCAGTTATCCCCCAGATAGACAAGTGTCATCCATGTCAGCTATCCCAGATAGACAAGTGTCGTCCATGTCAGTTATCCCCCAGATAGACAAGTGTCATCCATGTCAGTTATCCCAGATAGACAAGTGTCGTCCATGTCAGCTATCCCAAACAGACAAGTGTCATCCATGTCAGTTATCCCAGACAGACAAGTGTCATCCATGTCAGTTATCCCAGACAGACAAGTGTCATCCATGTCAGTTATCCCAGACAGACAAGTGTCATCCATGTCAGTTATCCCAGATAGACAAGTGTCATCCATGTCAGTTATCCCCCAGATAGACAAGTGTCATCCATGTCAGTTATCCCAGATAAACAAGTGTCATCCATGTCAGTTATCCCCCAGATAGACAAGTGTCATCCATGTCAGTTATCCCAGATAGACAAGTGTCATCCATGTCAGTTATCCCAGATAGACAAGTGTCATCCATGTCAGTTATCCCAGATAGACAAGTGTCATCCATGTCAGTTATCCCCCAGATAGACAAGTGTCATCCATGTCAGCTATCCCAGATAGACAAGTGTCGTCCATGTCAGCTATCCCAGATAGACAAGTGTTGTCCATGTCAGTTATCCCAGATAAACAAGTGTCATCCATGTCAGTTATCCCCCAGATAGACAAGTGTCATCCATGTCAGCTATCCCAGATAGACAAGTGTCGTCCATGTCAGTTATCCCCCAGATAGACAAGTGTCATCCATGTCAGTTATCCCAGATAGACAAGTGTCGTCCATGTCAGCTATCCCAAACAGACAAGTGTCATCCATGTCAGTTATCCCAGACAGACAAGTGTCATCCATGTCAGTTATCCCAGACAGACAAGTGTCATCCATGTCAGTTATCCCAGACAGACAAGTGTCATCCATGTCAGTTATCCCAGACAGACAAGTGTCATCCATGTCAGTTATCCCCCAGATAGACAAGTGTCGTCCATGTCAGTTATCCCAGACAGACAAGTGTCATCCATGTCAGTTATCCCAGACAGACAAGTGTCATCCATGTCAGTTATCCCCCAGATAGACAAGTGTCATCCATGTCAGTTATCCCAGATAAACAAGTGTCATCCATGTCAGTTATCCCCCAGATAGACAAGTGTCATCCATGTCAGTTATCCCAGATAGACAAGTGTCATCCATGTCAGTTATCCCAGATAGACAAGTGTCATCCATGTCAGTTATCCCAGATAGACAAGTGTCATCCATGTCAGTTATCCCCCAGATAGACAAGTGTCATCCATGTCAGTTATCCCAGATAGACAAGTGTCATCCATGTCAGTTATCCCAGATAGACAAGTGTCATCCATGTCAGTTATCCCAGATAGACAAGTGTCATCCATGTCAGTTATCCCAGATAGACAAGTGTCATCCATGTCAGTTATCCCCCAGATAGACAAGTGTCATCCATGTCAGTTATCCCAGATAAACAAGTGTCATCCATGTCAGTTATCCCCCAGATAGACAAGTGTCATCCATGTCAGTTATCCCAGATAGACAAGTGTCGTCCATGTCAGTTATCCCAGATAGACAAGTGTCATCCATGTCAGTTATCCCAGATAGACAAGTGTCGTCCATGTCAGTTATCCCAGATAGACAAGTGTCATCCATGTCAGTTATCCCAAACAGACAAGTGTCATCCATGTCAGTTATCCCCCAGATAGACAAGTGTCATCCATGTCAGTTATCCCAGATAGACAAGTGTCGTCCATGTCAGTTATCCCAGACAGACAAGTGTCATCCATGTCAGTTATCCCAGATAGACAAGTGTCATCCATGTCAGTTATCCCCCAGATAGACAAGTGTCATCCATGTCAGTTATCCCAGATAGACAAGTGTCGTCCATGTCAGTTATCCCAGACAGACAAGTGTCATCCATGTCAGTTATCCCAGATAGACAAGTGTCATCCATGTCAGTTATCCCAAACAGACAAGTGTCATCCATGTCAGTTATCCCAGATAGACAAGTGTCATCCATGTCAGTTATCCCCCAGATAGACAAGTGTCATCCATGTCAGTTATCCCAGACAGACAAGTGTCATCCATGTCAGTTATCCCAGATAGACAAGTGTCGTCCATGTCAGTTATCCCAGATAGACAGATAGACAAGTGTCGTCCATGTCAGTTATCCCCCAGATAGACAAGTGTCATCCATGTCAGTTATCCCAGATAGGCAAGTGTCATCCATGTCAGTTATCCCAGATAGACAAGTGTCGTCCATGTCAGTTATCCCAGATAGACAAGTGTTGTCCATGTCAGTTATCCCAGATAGACAAGTGTCGTCCATGTCAGTTATCCCAGATAGACAAGTGTTGTCCATGTCAGTTATCCCAGATAAACAAGTGTCATCCATGTCAGTTATCCCAGACAGACAAGTGTCGTCCATGTCAGTTATCCCAGATAGACAGATAGATAAGTGTCGTCCATGTCAGTTATCCCCCAGATAGACAAGTGTCATCCATGTCAGTTATCCCAGATAGGCAAGTGTCATCCATGTCAGTTATCCCAGATAGACAAGTGTCGTCCATGTCAGTTATCCCAGATAGACAAGTGTCATCCATGTCAGTTATCCCCCAGATAGACAAGTGTCGTCCATGTCAGTTATCCCAGACAGACAAGTGTCGTCCATGTCAGTTATCCCAGATAGACAAGTGTCATCCATGTCAGTTATCCCCCAGATAGACAAGTGTCATCCATGTCAGTTATCCCCCAGATAGACAAGTGTCATCCATGTCAGTTATCCCAGATAGACAAGTGTCGTCCATGTCAGTTATCCCAGACAGACAAGTGTCATCCATGTCAGTTATCCCAGATAGACAAGTGTCATCCATGTCAGTTATCCCAAACAGACAAGTGTCATCCATGTCAGTTATCCCAGATAGACAAGTGTCATCCATGTCAGTTATCCCCCAGATAGACAAGTGTCATCCATGTCAGTTATCCCAGATAGGCAAGTGTTGTCCATGTCAGTTATCCCAGATAGACAAGTGTTGTCCATGTCAGTTATCCCCCAGATAGACAGATAGACAAGTGTTGTCCATGTCAGTTATCCCAGATAGACAGATAGACAAGTGTCGTCCATGTCAGTTATCCCAGATAGACAAGTGTCATCCATGTCAGTTATCCCAGATAGGCAAGTGTTGTCCATGTCAGTTATCCCAGATAGACAAGTGTCATCCATGTCAGTTATCCCAGATAGGCAAGTGTCGTCCATGTCAGTTACCCCAGATAGACAGATAGACAAGTGTTGTCCATGTCAGTTATCCCAGATAGACAGATAGACAAGTGTCGTCCATGTCAGTTATCCCAGATAGACAGATAGACAAGTGTTGTCCATGTCAGTTATCCCAGATAGACAAGTGTCGTCCATGTCAGTTATCCCAGATAGACAAGTGTTGTCCATGTCAGTTATCCCAGATAAACAAGTGTCATCCATGTCAGTTATCCCAGACAGACAAGTGTCATCCATGTCAGTTATCCCAGATAGACAAGTGTCATCCATGTCAGTTATCCCAAACAGACAAGTGTCATCCATGTCAGTTATCCCAGATAGACAAGTGTCGTCCATGTCAGTTATCCCCCAGATAGACAAGTGTCATCCATGTCAGTTATCCCAGATAGACAAGTGTCGTCCATGTCAGTTATCCCAGATAGACAGATAGACAAGTGTCGTCCATGTCAGTTATCCCCCAGATAGACAAGTGTCATCCATGTCAGTTATCCCAGATAGGCAAGTGTCATCCATGTCAGTTATCCCAGATAGACAGATAGACAAGTGTCGTCCATGTCAGTTATCCCCCAGATAGACAAGTGTCATCCATGTCAGTTATCCCAGATAGACAAGTGTCATCCATGTCAGTTATCCCAGACAGACAAGTGTCATCCATGTCAGTTATCCCAGATAGACAAGTGTCGTCCATGTCAGTTATCCCAGATAGACAGATAGACAAGTGTCGTCCATGTCAGTTATCCCCCAGATAGACAAGTGTCATCCATGTCAGTTATCCCAGATAGGCAAGTGTCATCCATGTCAGTTATC